CTCAGGTCATAGCCAACCAGGGCCACTTTGGGAAACAGCCATTCCATTCCCACACCAGTTCCAGAAGAAACATTTCAATCTGCTGCATAGCTCCTCCAATTCCTGAGGAAGAAATGATTAACTATGTTATGGATGCATCTATCTCTGCATATATATTTGGGACTAATTTCTGCCACCAGTGCAATGAGATGCCACCAGTTCCAGGCCATGTGAGATGGGGTTTGGAGCAACCTGAGCTAGTGGAAGGTGTCTCTGCTCAGGGCAGGGGGGTTGAGACTGGGTGGCCTTTAAGGTCCTTTCCAACCCAAAGCATTCCATGACTCTGGGACTCTATGATGCCCCCCTCACCCCTCCTCCCCACTCCCCACCGTGCCCAGCACACACAACAGCCCCTCTGTGACATGCAGGTTGTATGACAGGAGCTTTTCTTCTTGTATATTAAAGAGTCTGGGAAAAAGTAGGTGAGTTAATGGGGAGAAGCTTAAGAACAGCGATTACAGGAGGCAAAAGCAGCAGCCATAATACAGCAACAAGCCTTGATGGCAGCTACGGAGATGTGAAGCAAGTGGGAGGGAAAATTTGTGCAGTTATGGCAGAGATATATGCTGTACAGGGAGCATGGCAGAGATGAGGCTGCCCACGTAAAAGGAAAGAAACTGGTCCCAGGGTCTGCGTGGTGGTAGCAAACCCTGACTGGGATCCTGGGGTTGTGGCCAAGCCCCGGGAGACCAAGTCTGTGTGGCTTGTGACACTTAGAGGTAATGATGAGGACCAAAGGCATGTTGATGCTTCAGAAATTTGAACTTGCCTCATCCTGTTGTGTACCGGTCACATCAGGATGACGCTGCAAAATTATAATATATAAGGCCACGCACACCTTTTGGGGTGGATCCCACCAGAACTCGAGGACCACATTGCCTCCGTGGGGATGCCTGCTAAGCTTCTGTGCCTGCCCCGTCAAATAGGACTCTGTGCTGGACTGATCACCTTACTGTATTGTGGTAACAACCACGGAGAGGCTCCTGGGCTGGCAGAGGCCCAGGGTGTTGCTGCTGTTTCTGTGCTGCTGTACTGGACAGGCTGGAACTCCGGTGTGAACTTAGAGTTGAAAGGACTGTGAAAAGACTGTGACCTGTTGATGAGTCCATGATGAAGCAGAGACCCACCTGCAGCCTAGGATGTGGACTATACTAATGATGGACTCTAGCATGAACCCCTTGTTGCTAGTCAGGCTGGGAACAAAGGGAACGCTTCATTGCACTGTTACACCAGATAACCTGGCCACAGACCAGAACTGAACTGTCACTTCCAGCACAGCTCTGACACAGTGCCCGCAGTGCCCTCGCAGTGTTCTAGAGGGGTCGATGTCACAGAGGGGCTGTTGCGTGTGCTGGGCATGGTGGGGAGTGGTGGTGAGGGGTGAGAGGGGCACCATGGAGTCCTAGAGCCATGGAATGCTTTCGGTTAGAAAGGACCGTAAAGGCCACCCAGTCCCAACCCCCCTGCCCTGAGCAGAGGCACCTTCCACTAG